CACAAAGGAAACAAGAAAAACAAAGATAAAAGTGAAATACAAAATGAAAAAGAAAGAAAATATATTTCGCAGGTGAACTGACCGACATTACCACCCTTGGAGTCGTACTAGCGTTGAAGAAGATGTAGTAGTACAGTGTAGTGCTGTAGAGAGCTAGCTTATGACCCATGGAGATTTCACAGTTTTAACATTTGCTCTCTCCAGTAGTGACTGTTAAAGGGGTTAATATGTGTGTATGAAAGGACGAGAGGCCGTGTTTTGTTGCTATGTGGCTGTGTTGTTTTTTCTGTTTATTTCCAGCTGTGCATTGATATATATCAGCAGCTAGCTGCGGCGCTAACGCGGTGGTTTATCTGCCCCTCAGGCTGCATGTTATTTATGAACACACAAGCATGAATAATGTCATTTCACATCTATATTTGGATTATCTGGAGCCACTGGCTGAATAAGAAGCTTGGCTACAGATTGTCTAACAATGCGGATATGGATGAAATAAATTGCTGTGTTACACTGTGTCATGGAAGCAGAAAATTGAGTAATGGTGGTGTAGTAACCTCGAGCATCATCCAAAGGTGATCCAACGAGGCTCGTGTAATCTTTCCTTTTACAAAAACTCAAGGTCCTCTCACCATTCCACAGCTGCCAACATTCATCCGTAGAAAATGAAAAATACAGCTAATAAAGAGGATTAAGGCTAAAATAGAATAAGACAGAATTAAAACTACAGTACAGTGCATACGAATAATTCCTCCCACATTGAATTTAATAAAAGGCACATGTTCTCGGTCCTGATTCAAAAAAAATGAGAATTGAAGCAGACCTCAAGTTTTTTGTGAATTTGGTAACGGTTCAATCATTTCTAGATTATTATTTTTCAAGAGTGCATTAAGTACTGCAGTTAACAGAGTCAAGTAACTAAAGAAATGAACTGATGAGATCAGAACTTGATAATCACTGGTTTGGTGCTTTGGATTACCTCCGCCTCATGCCTCCCTTTGTGAAAAGTTGAAGCCACGACAATCAGATCGGTTACTGTTTGGGCTGTTCAAAGATTGACTTCTTCTTTTTTATGTTAAGTTACAAGAAAAAGCAGGAGAGTGTCAAATAAGAGCAGCAGAAAGCAGGCAGAGTGTCAGTGTGCCAGGCAGAGGAGGAGCGGGATGCAGAGATCTGGGAAAGTCTTTTAACACACCCCCTGATATTTTTAAGTTTCAAACTTGTAGTCTTCAGCCCACGCAGCTCTCTGGAGACAGAAGGCTTACACAACGTTCTTCCTCCATGCACCATCACTCTCCAACACCTGGAAACACACTTTGATGTATGGAGTCAGTGGAGTTACCCTTCATCCATTACACTTTAGCTTAAAATGCATAAAGTGTAGTATTAATCTCTTGAAAACATTGTCAGGTGTTAGTCACAATAATTGAACATAAAGCTAAACTTAAGTCTTCCAACTGAAACCAATACACAGATTATTTCCATCTGGACCTATAAGCGTTTTATGATCTTCAAACCAGAGCATACATTTTTACGACTGCTTGCCAAAAGATTGACATGATTAACATGACTGTTACCAAAGTGACTTCTGGAAGCACTTTTAACTCTTAGGTTAAGGCTAAACCCAAACGTTTTCAGTCAGGCCCCCCTTGGGTAATTGGAAAAATTTTCGAGCCCCCCCAACCCGGTTCCCACCTAGATTGGTGGGAATAATTGTATGTAATTGTAAAAACATGACATGTTCTTTACAATTAATAACAAGACATAAAGATCTAACTATAATTGTATATGTTATTACGGATTGTGTGTTAAAAACTTTTGTAGATTTTTCGAGCAACCAGTTGCACTTCACACGACCACCCCTGCGGTACCTCCGCCCCACAGTTTTATAACCGCTGGGTTAATAAGGGAAAGATGTTACCCATAAAAAAAAAGTGTTATTGTTCGAATAGATGAGAAAAGTGCTACACTGCCTGGTGAAATAAAGGCCCCGCCCACTTTCTGGTGAAAACAAAGAATTTCCGGCAAGCGAGAAAAAACGTTTTATCATGCATAAAAGCTGCGGGGTTGGATATTGCACGTCAAACAACAAAATAGATCCAACTTTAAGATTTCATTTATTTTTACTTTGATAAAAAGACGGTCAAATAAATGTGGCTTCACAGTGTTATCAATGGGAGCCGGTCAGTGAGTACATGAACCACTGTGGGAAACACTGAACTGAACTATGATGCTAATGTCACTGGTCAAAGTTAACAGTTGTAATGTTGAAAGTAGTGAATATACAGTATGTGCTGCGTTGAAATATTAAACAATTAAATTCAATTAAAAACCTTTATTTATCCAGGTAAAATCCCATTGAGATCAATGATCTCTTTTTCAAGGGAGACCTGCAGCAGTAGGTTCCACATGAAGACATAAAAACATAAACAACAGAACAACAAAAGGACATCATACAGCAACATTTACAGGGATTACAATTTACATATTATTTTATTTAGCCTTTATTTATACAGGTGTAGATCTCATTGAGACACAAGGTCTCATTTTCAAGAGAGACCTGTCAGTGGTAACACTACCACACAAAGTTACAGACAGACAGGACACTAAACACAGAGGCAACACTAAAATACAACATCGTAAAAAAGTAGTCATATCTATCCACATGTACAGGTACCAACAGCATCTGATTTTGTAGCATCCAACCGAGCTTTAAAAACATGTAGTGGTACCAGATTGGTACGTTTCCATTCTTTTTGCAGACTGTTCCATGTTAGTGGAGCTGCATATCTAAAAGCTTTCTTCCCTAAGACAGTCCTAGCACTTGGCACATTTAATAAAACCACAGCATGCGATCTCAGGCAATAAGTACTTTCAATTCACCGAGAGATCAGGGAGCAGATATAAGATGGTCGTTTATCCAACATGGCTTTGTAAATGAACGTGTACCAATGACTGAGCCTCCGTACAGTAAGTGATGGCATAACCGCCTTGGCATACAGGGTACAGTGATGCGTAAGTGCTTTACAATTTGTCAAAAATCTCAGGGCACTGTGATACGCAGCATCTAACTTGCTCAGGTAATTGGCAGGTGCATTCATATATAACAAATCACCATAGTCCAGCACAGGTAAAAAGGTCACAGTGACTTTTCCTGGCCTCAAGCGAGAAACAGGACTTATTTCTGTAAAAGAAACCTAGCCTAAACACTGACAAGCCAAGGGAATACCAGTTTGAGTGTTAGCTGCTGCCTGCCACTCGTCCATCGGCAGACTGACAGGATATTGATCCTCTTGATTTAAATCAAACCATAAAACTTCACCGATCATCAATCTCCAATAACATTATCTGACCCTCTTAATCGGGCTCTTGCACGGTTTTCATTTTTTTTTTATGTGATGGGCGAACAATTCAGAACTTCCTGTATTTACGGCCAATCAAATGACAGTGTATAAATATTCACCCAAAAAGGGGCGGGGCCATGACATTGAGGGACAGTACCCTGATAGCTCTCATATATGAGACAGCATATGACTGCTGTCTTCAATGTTAAAGTGTGGTACTTTATAGGTTGAACAACTGTCCTCAACTTAAACAAATCTTAGCTAACTTGACACACCTATCAATTAGTTGAATCAATTTACTATTTATAAAATTGTTTTCCCCACAAAGAATCTGCAAAAGCACCAGTTTAAATGTTGTGTTTACCACAGATGTACTCAGAAGTTTCTTAAAGAAAATGATTCAGCAAAAGCAGACTAAGCACCTCGAGAGATCTGAGTGGACGAATCATCTGGGAGGGGGCAGCCCTAGTCACACTCAGATTTGCTTTTGACAAACAAGTGTTTACTTACACTAACCACACTAAAATGAACGTTCTGGAACTGTATTTCAAATGCTTTTTAAATATGTATTTCCAACAACACTCACTGTGGTATCCCATGTTATACAGCACTCTACAGTTGGATGAACCTGTCTCCCACTTCTCTTAACCTTTCATTCTGATAAATCAACACAGTCTCACTCTGCAGTATTTGTGCATTTTATAAATAATCACACAATCAGCATGTAATTGTATATGAATATTTTTGACATGGGTTCATGATCGATACATATATTTCTCTTCAAATAATGTTTTTGAACAGGCTGTGTTAAAATGTTCAGATTTTCCAGAACATCACCTTGTTACAACGGAAACTAGGAAATAAAAATGACAGTGTGGCTGGAGTCAGATCCAATCGAGTGGTGCAGCAATGAGTCCTAAAACCTGAAATCAGTAAGCCTTTAAAGGTGGGGTAGGTAAGTTTGAGAAACCGGCTCGAGATACACTTGTTGTTATATTGCATGGAATGCTCTTAACATCCCGATAGCAATGAATATCTGAAGTGCTTTGACAAAAAATCCATAAAAAAATATAATCTGTGGAAGCCGTAGCGCTGTGAAAAGCACGACCAATCATCTGAGCCGGCCCGGCTAAAGTAACTGGATGGCCTACCTGCCTGACAGCCTTCCATCGGGGCACAAACTTATCTCGTGCCCTCATTGGTCATGTGCGCATTCGTGTGTGTTGGAGGAGGGGCTCTGTAAGGAAGTGGCAGATTTTCTCCAGCTGTGTATTTTCAAATTCTAGCGCACTCCAGCTGGTTTCTCAAACGTACCTACCCCACCTTTAAGTACTTTTGTTTTCTGCATTGTCTATGGAAGAATCCTATTGTTTTTTGTCGAGGGAGCCTTTGCATGCTAACCTCATCACCTACAACAATATGTCATCACTGCACCATTCTATTGTTCTGTTTACAACTTTTACAGTACAGTTGCAGTTACATGGCTTCTGTAAAATAATACTTGACCTTATTTACTTATTGTGGATTTAGAAAACAGGACGTGGAGCTCATAGGAGGAGTTCGGCCTCGGATGTTCAGCTGGGTGCAGAGTTTGTAAATGATAGCATTGTGAAATAATCAACTTTCCTCAACTTCTCTCCTCTTTCTCTTTCTTTGTAGTTTCATCTTGCATCACCACCTATAAGAAGACCCCTCCACCAGTGCCCCCCCGAACGTCCACCTGCTCCACAGCCTCCAAGCCGTACATCTCCATCACGGCCCAGAGCAGCACAGAGTCTGCCCAGGTACTGCTCACACCCACAGGCCTCTGGAGCTCAATGTCAGGGTAATACTGAGCAGCCATAGCAGAAACACAAGGGCACACACTCTGACCTGGCTAGACTAGGGTTGCGTTCCAATAGTCCATTTAGCTTAGGACCCTTCCTAACGGAGTGAAATGACCCGGAAGTCCCTCTGTGGCAGCCATGATAAGTGCCGTTCCAATTCTCTAGAATGATAGGAAAGGAGGTTTCAAACTTCCTTTATAACCTCCTTTAGCTTAGGAACCACTGGACTCCTATCCACTATCCCTTAACCCCGTGACGTTTCACTCAGAGGTCAAGGAATAGGAGATAGGGTTAGACGTTAGGAGCTGATTTTTGGATTATCGGAACGCAACCAAGGATTTTTCTGCAGATCCTTCAAAAGCATTGAATTATTTAATAAAAAAATCAGGCCAACAACACAAACATTTTGCATCTGGGAATCTCAGAATAGATGTACTATCTGCTAGCTACTGTAGTGCAGACACAGGAAGGAGATGAGAAGTGGAGCTTGTTTCAGGGCTGACACTGATACCAGTCAAAGAGCACGAGTGACAGTGGATCTTCTGCAGAGAATCATTCAAACTTGACAGGAGAGTCATTTTGGATGTTGTAAAATGTAATTTAAATGTAATTGTAAGTGTCATTATAAAAAGTCAGTTAAAGCAAGAGAACACACACCAGCCATAATTCGATTAACTGCCAAAGTAGCTTTAAAAAAATGAACAATATAATATTGCTCTTACAAAGATAAAGTTCAATTATATAGTTAACAGTTACTCTTTTGTTTTATTTTACATTCTGAAGGGAATTCAATTAAATATACCATGTGCACATCCAAACCAATGATTACTTCCCATCTTTTAGTGCTGCTGCCGTTCAGTGGCTGAAATATCAAGATACAGTATAATAAACCATATGATAACGTCAGAGCTTCTACACAGCAGGTTGATTACAATGCAGTAGAGGATTGATGCCTGCTTTCTTGCAGTCTTGAAATCAACTGTGCATCCTTCTCTTTCTGATGGATATATTAAGGAAACCATTGCTGAACAGAAGTCGATTCAATCCATGCAGCCCAGAATCACACGTGTCTGGCTCAGCCTCTAAATATTTCATTACATTGTATTACATTGCATTTAGCTGACGCTTTTATCCAAAGCGACTTACAATAAGTACATTCGACCAGGAAGACACAACCTTGAAGAAAACAGAATCATATAAGTACATCAGGTTTCATAGAGCCAAACATTTCAAGTGCTACTCAACTGGCTTTAGATAAGCCAGTCCTTTATTAGTATAAAAGTGCTTCGTTAATAGTTCTATCGCTCGAAGTGGAGTCGAAAGAGATGAGTTTTCAGTTTGCGCCGGAAGATGTGCAAGCTATCTGCTGTCCTGATGTCAATGGGGAGCTCATTCCACCATCTTGGAGCCAGGATAGCAAACCCACGTGTTTTCGCCGATGGGATTCATCAAAATCAAAGGAAGAAAGGAAACATTTGAAAGAAAGAAACCTCAAGTTAAGACTCAGAAAGGGATATTGCTTGATATAAATAATAGAAGCCAGTCTATTTCCCTGGCACAATGCCAGTTAGCCGTCATGTCATTGAAGTACAACATCCCAACTCATACTGATACCTCTAGAGATGTTGGTTAATGCATTTTGAAACAACCTCTGGGGATACTGCATGTTTGAAGATTTACATTGAATCCACTTTTTTGAGTTAGTAAGCTTCAGTATCATTATGATATTTATCAGTTGATATTAGTCCCATTGTTCACTTTTCGAGAGAGATACATTAAACCTGTCCTTTAGACTCCTTACATGTCTGTGAAAAGCCTAAGATGTAACCAGTGACACTTTCTTGTGTTCGACAACATATCCCACTTTCTGACATAAAAAGGATAATTTGAGATTGAAGTCCCTCTATGAACGAGGCACATGTAGTCTGCTGACAGTATTTAACTGTTGAACAGTATTTATAGTATATACAACTTTAAATTGCTTCAGGTCTCATGTTTTATTTATTTTACCCACAGTGGCTTTGACACTTTGAGGTTGACAACAAAACAAATGCTAACACAGACACAAACAAGAGGTCAACAAAATAAAAAGATGCATAAATAAATAATAATAATACCACACAGAATGGCTTTTGTTGAAGTCCCCCCATGCTTCTAATGTCTTCTCAATCTGTTCTTTACCCAGTCTGTGATGCATCCCAACACCAAAACACTATAAATACATCACAGTACAACCCAAAGAGAGCAGAAGGCATGTAGGAACATCAACTTCAGCAAAAAGGCAGGTCTATTTCAAGTGCAACATTGAGCGTGAGCTGGAGTCTGAGCTGTTTTAGTGTAGATGGAGAATGTATAGGGTTTGTCGAGCAGACAGTTGAGACTTAAGGACAGTGGCTGAAGAACCCAATGCTGGGAGGGAGCAGTGAGCTCATTGGCTGCAGCAGAGCTTAGTGGTCATGTGGTATGGTTTGACCATGTCCTGAATGAATGGGCCTGAGATGTTCACAGCACTAAAAGCAGAGACCAGACTTGAATCCCATTTGAGGGTCGAGAGTGTTGCAGGGATGACGTACTATTGGAAGCAAACCGTTAGCATCACAAGGAGTACCTCAACAAAAAGCTAATGGATTTTTCTGTTGGATTTTGCAGAAAAAAGGGTCCTTGTCCAACACACATTAATGATACTTACACGTTTTCTCCAGCAGGATAATCTCCACATATTAGAAACGCTTTATGATTTTTGAATCACAAATGCAATCTACAGAAGTAAAAAGCAGACGTTAGGCTATAAACAAACTACATCATGGTTGATGGCTGCGAATCCCCTACTGTAAAATAAGCTAAAGGCTTTGGTGGCATTTAGTTATTCACTTGTTTGTCGCCGCTGTTTTTATGACAAATACAAGTTTGGGATATTCATCAGTTGGGTATTTACGAACATATTTTATTCCACAGAGCAATATGTGAAAATCTGTTAAGCTTGTGTTCTTATTTCAGGCATCTAACTAAAACCAATGTACAAAAAACTGTAGACATTGAGACAAGGGTTTAAGGATTCCTGATTTTTGACATTATATATTAATACATTATTATAATATGTCTTATTAATCATCATTAATACGTCTTTAAAGCAATATTATGCTTTTTATATGTATATATGTTTTCAAAAAATCCACCAGGATGCATACATGGAAGAGGAGGGACCCAGAGGTGACATGACCATCCAATCAGGGCTCAGCAACTCCACAGAGAGCATCGACAGCATGAAGGCCCTGACTGCTGCCATAGAGGCTGCCAATGCACAGGTAGGTCCCGGTGAGAGCCAATCAGAAACAGCTTCCGTGAATATTCTATCACCTAATGTGTGTTTTCATCAACGTAGGTCCATGGACCAGCCAGCCAGCATGTCAGTAACAGCACCATGACAGTGAACACTCCCATCCCCACCATCCTGACCAGGGGGCCAGTAGAAGACCACCGGGATATGTACAGGAAAGAAGCACTCAGGAAGGGCAGATGTCTCTCTATAGGCATCCAGGTGTGTAGGGGGGGGCATGGAGCGACATGGAGGAGGAACATAATGGACTTCAGTTACCTACACAGTATAGATGTCTGTATGTCAGTGGGGAGTCATCTGCTCTACTGTTTACCTATCATTTTACTTATTTTATAAACTCTCCTCTTTTTGGAGGATACTATTAAGTCCAAGTCATATATTCATAGTTAAAATGACTTGCCTTTGCTACCTTCAATACAGATATTTCAGAGGGTATTGGTCTGTAAATTGAATTGTAGATGTGCTGCTTTGGGGTCAGATTGATCCTACAATGTATGACCAAGTTGAACTTTGTTCAACTATTTCAAATAGATTAGTTCTCTTTCGAAACAACTCATGATGTATCACACCGGCCCACTGGGAGTTGAATTATGGTCACTTCCTGGTTCAAACTGACATTTGTTTCCTGAAAAGGGATTCTTTAGTGACCCCCAAAACCAATCTAGTGTTTTCCAAATGTGTTTTTTTTAACTAATGTCCACTTAGGTGTTTTTGCTAATTATTGCCTATTAACTAATAGTAATTAATCAATTAGCCCAACATGTGTGAGATAGCATCCGGCAGTTTCTAAATGCTGGGGACATTGCTATCTTTCTTATCATATAGCCAATACATGTATTCAGTTGTTAATTGGTTTTATTAATGGCATTTGGTGATAAGACAAGATAAGATAGAGCTTCATTGTCTCCCTTAGGAGAAATGTGTCTTGGGCATCGAGATAATACACATAAAACATTCAGGTCAATCAGTCATAGATACAGAACAGAGATCACATATCACATGGCAAAGAAACAAACAGGTACAGAACTTTCCCTATTGCATTCATACATAATCAAATATTGCACTTTCCCTATTGCACCTATGCATAGTGTCCGTCAAATTGCACATATCCCTATTGTGTCCATACCTATTTACACATATTGCACTTTCCCTATTTAACCTTCTCGATTGCACAAACTACACTGTAAACATTGCACCTCCCAACAACTCCTAACACAGCGTAATCACAATTGTTTCTGACTGTTCAGCAGCTTGATTGACAGCGGAATAAAGGAAAACTTATACCTGTTAAATTTACAGTTTGGTAATCTATACCTTCTGCCCGAAGGGGTCGCATGTGATTGTACGGCCTTCTCTTTCTCACCATCTCCTCAAATATCTCCTGAAGAGATAAACTCTGCTCTTTTTGGAGGATACTATAAAGTCCAAGTCATATATTCATAGTTGAAATGACTTGACTTTGCTACCTTCAATACAGATATTTCAGAGGGTATTGGTCTGTAAATTGAATTGTAGATGTGCTGCTTTGTGGTCATTTGATATTAGTGACTTACCATGCATGTCTTCTGTAGGTGGATGGACCGGAGGATGACCCCGATCCAGAGGACCCCTCCAAGTTCACCTCTGTGGGGGTGCAGGTGGAGGATGACAGAGGGTGAGGCACACATTGTTCTCCACACTTAATCTGTTCCATTGTTGACCCGTATACTTTTTGATTATTTAAATCAGGTCCATGTCTCTTAACAGTTGTCCAGTAGGTTCCACAAGATAGCCAAGTTCCAATATTTCGTTCTCTTACAACTTTTGAATGCTGGCCCTCGTGTTCTGCTGTATGTTTGTGAGCATTTCCTCCAACAGTCAACTAAATGAATCAGTTGTTAAATGTGATGATGCGAATGAATGTGAATAGTTCTACATTACACTGGAGACCTGTACAATGCTTTTCCCTGGAGAATCCGTGCCTTTAGCACCTCAATAACAGTGGATAGAAATATGTAGCTATATACGATGGATAGATTCAAAGGTTAATGTTAGTTTACAGTGTAGAAATGCCAGAACTAAAGCTGGATTTATGCTCAGTCTACTACTAGTATAGTATACTAATTTACTGCGCTAAACAGCTAGGAAGCACATACCTGTATAGATTTATAACAAATATTTCCATTACTTAGGTTGCTGAGGTGATATCAATAGGTAAAGTCAGACGTTTAACTATAAATCCAAAACGTACAAACTGACAATGCCTTGATAAGTAATCCAGTTATACTTTGAACTCTAAAATCAAGATGATTTTATATCTAGGTGTGTTAGTCAAGCTTTTGGCATGATTAACTGATTACAAAGTTAAGACCTTTATTAATCCACGTAGGGAAATGTAGGGTTACACAGTGTATTCAATCTTTTGAGTTGTGCCACATGATGTGTGTTTTCCTCAGACTAGGAATAAACTGTGCTAAAGGCCTAGGCCATACCCACAACTTCATGATAAATATTTCCATGTATATATTTCTGAGGGGATATCAACAGGTAAAGTCAGACGATAGATTAAAACGTACAAACCAACAATGCATTGATAAGGACAGTGGCGCTGCAGGACACGCTGGGGGCCCCAGGCAGATGTGACATGCCCCTCAACACATCCAGCACAACCGTCAGCTGTGCAACAGCATTCCACTATATTTCTTCTAATCTTTATTAATGCGAATGCTATTTACAGCATGGGAAACTTTCAACTTTTTCAAAATATTTTATACTTTTTGAAATATTCAGCTTTTTAAACTCTTTTTTTAACATGTAACTCAATGGGAGGAACCTTCAAATCCTCTTTACCTACACTGTGCGCTAAATGCTACTCCTTCCACATACTTTCAGCTAGAGACTTAATCCCAACTTTAAAATGATCACAAGAAATTCAGCTATTGAAATTGTATTCAGATTCTTAATATCTTTTACACTTTTTGAGATATTCCACTTAGTTTGGAGCTTGGTAAAGAGGCCTTCTTCAGATTTTAACATTAGTGTGTATTGCGAAGCTCATTAACCTGTTAAGCCCGGTGCACCGGCAACATCTTGCAAGAAACAGCGTCTGAGGGCTTCTTAACATCTAACAAACTATGAATATGTCATACCCACTTAACGGGAAGAAACTCAGCTACCTGACGGTATGAACCATTTTTACCGAAAAAAACCCAAAAGTCTAACGTCAAGCCTCTGAATTAGCACTAAGCGAAAGAGTGCTAACGCACTGCACATAACTGACGGTAGAAATATTTTATACTTAATCGGATCTGCACAAATAAGATATCACAGAGATTCCACAGATTCCAATGGTATAAGTATCATCGCTGTGCGACCAAATCTCGCAGCAGCGAAAGCCAGCAAAGACAACACACAACTTCACTTTACGGCCAAAACGGCAAATACGTCTTACCTTTGCTGTTTTCTGATCAAAAGTTGTGTTCAAGGAAATTAAAACGCATACAAACGCTGCTGAAGGCTAATACAATGTCTCTGTGTCCCTTTGAAATGATTGCTGATAATCCATCATCATATTTATGGCAATAAGCCTAGTTTTCAGTTTTCAGAGCGTAACATAGCTTTCGGTTTGGGCAAACTGCGTGTGCATCACTCTCACTCCTCAATAGTAACGTGTAGGTGGATTTAGGAACCTCCCCTAGATTTTATTGGCTCGAATGGTTAAAAAGAGGTGTCAATCACCAAAATCGACCAATGGGTTCCAGAGATATGGCAAATAAACCCAAATGACCCCAGAGGTGGGTTTTTTTTCTAAATCTCTCCAAAAAGGTCAGATTTAACTTGTTTTGCATCAATCTTGATACAGGGTACTTATTATATGTTATAGTTTGGATTCCTAAAGCTTTTAGTCTACTAACCCATCATTCAAGGTTAGTTTTCACTATAAGTAATGGGTTTTTTTTGGACGGAAACTATAATTTACATTATTTTTATGATGTTCAATCTGAATTTACTTTAAAATAAAAACATCTATATTGATTCTGACTTCTCTATATCCAACTCACAGGTTTATCATTGCCTTGAGAAAAAAGATGATTAATTTACCTCTTTTAGAAGTGAATATATAGACCCCGTTTACACGAGGACGATACGGGTTGTATCCGCATAGTTTCTCTTGCATATAGCCCTTTCGTTTACACAAGGCCGTAACAAAACGATAGAAACGGACCCCGCAAACAATAACGGGTCCCAAGGTGGATAGATCTGCAAACGGAACGCTCTGGGGGGTCAAACGGCTCCGTGTAATCGCCTCTATAGCCTACGATCAATTTGTATAGCGATGGAATAGCCCCGCCTCCCTCTCCCCACCTCTCCTGCTCAGAGATCAGCTGCTGGTCTGTCAGAAGAGGGGGAGGAAAAGAGAGGCTCCGTTTATTACATTACGTTACATTGCATTTAGCTGACGCTTTTATCCAAAGCGACTTACAATAAGTGCGTTCGACCAACAAAATACAAACTTGAAGAAAACAGAATCATATAAGTACATCAGGTTTCATAGAGCCAAAACATTTCAAGTGCTACTCAACTGGCTTTAGGTAAGCCAGTCCTTTATTAGTATATAAGTGCTTTGTTAATAGTTCTATCGCTCGAATTGGAGTCGAAAGAGATGAGTTTTCAGTCTGCGCCGGAAGGTGTGTAAGCTATCTGCTGTCCTGATGTCAATGGTGAGCTCATTCCACCATTTTGGAGCCAGGATAGCAAACCCATTATTATTCTTATATTATTATACAGAGTCGTTATCAATTTGTTTTAAAGCTCAATAAATAACAAAGAAGACCTTTGACCGGCACTTTTCTAATTTTGTACAGAAGATTTAAACTTTAACGGACATGTTGACCGGCGAAAAAAAATGTTAACGGAAACTCTGCCGCACGGTCCCCTCGTCCCTTGGAAGAGGCGGAGAGGTGGGTGTTTTTCATCTGCTAGTGGACTACCTGAGAGATTTACAGCAGGAGCAAACGCCGTCCACCGTGGAGAATAAACAGAACGGCAACCATGGCAACCATGCTCCGGGGTCTTTTTCGCTGCTTGTGGTGTATTTTGTGGCGGCCGCAGCGCCACTTACAGGCCTGGCATTTCCAGCGTTTCCAGCGTTTCCAGCGGTCTCGTGTGAACGGACACGTTAAATGAATCAAATGCATGTGAATGGAAGACTTTTTTGAAAACGCATACGGTGCGTAAACGCAAACGTTCCCGTGTAAATGGGGTCATAGTCATTTGTTCTGGGCATGTCATTGAAAAACAGGCTCAGGGCTTAACAGGTTAAGGGTTAGAGCGTGTGATGTCACAGCTAGAGTGGAGCAGAGCTTGAAATTCGCCTTTAACATTTCTTTTAAACCTGCCATAATTCCCAAACCCTACACTCCTTGGTCATCATTTTTCATGAAAAACGTAGGAAAACCTCCCCTACGTTGAAAAATTACAAAAAATTAAGCAAAAATGTTTAACAAAATGCCTCTTGAGAGCATGAAGTGACAAACACTTTCAACATGTCTCCATTTAGACCCATTGAAAATGCAGCGTCATCTTTCATCACAGCACCAGCTGCACACCTTTAGTAGATCTGCCAAAAAAGCCACATTATTGACCCGAAAGTACACAAAAAGCAGACTGAGACGCTCCTCAGGGTCCTGAAATGCTCCACGTGTTGAAATGTTACCCATAGCGGCTACCGTTTTTAAACTATAGTTAGAAATGTAAGAGGTTTATCTCTCATTCAGAACAATGGAAAGGCTCTCCTTTCACTGCACATCTCCATGGTAACCTTTGATCTCTGGGCTCACACACAGGTGTTTGATAACGTCTTTACCTCAAACACAAATACACAGACTGGACTTTAACAGACTGTCTCAGCCTATTATGTTCTGTCTGATGGAGACTTCATACTGACTTCAACACGTTCCACATATTTTAGACATTATTGGTGACGAAGTTTGCAGTTAAAATATTCTGCTGCTTTCCAAAGTGTTTTTACTTTATTTTCTCTTCTTAATACACATTCATTCTCTACTACTTACATTTAATATGTAACTCCTTCAGCCTACTTTCAGCTACAGAAACCATTTAACTATTACATTATTGAGCTATTTCAGGACATTGAGGCTATACATGTTGTTGTTTATACCTTTTGTAAACCTTTTCTTTTCAATATTAAGCTTCTTCACTATTTTTCCTACTCTTCCAGTTTAACATTTCACTTTCAAGTTTTCAACAAAGTCATTGCAATGCATTTGAGCTGTAACCATTTTGATTCAAATCATTTCACTTTTCTGCATTTCTCCGTTAAGTTCAGCAACACACTTACTTGGTTTTTGTAGCTAGAAGCAGCTTTTGCTTTTCAAAGCTAATTTTGTGAGGTTTGGTAGTTTGTTGGGTAACCCACCTGGAACTGATGTCTGCAGTAGTCCCAACGGTAGTATGGTCCAAAGTGTGGGACCCCCCTCACTATAACCCCACAGGTTCCAGCCTCCAGTATGGCTGAAGAGTTTAATCAACTCCTGCCTGCAACAGCTAACACTGAGTATGGTGGATTTCACGAAAGGAGGATTCATTGCACCGCTGTTGTATTGGACTGCATTGATTTTTTAGTAATGTGAACCTAGTAAATTGAACAAATATACAGTACCAGTCAAAAGTTTGGACACACCTTCTCATTCAATGGTTTTTGTTTATTTTAATGTTGTTCTACTTTGTAGATGAATACTGAAGACATCAAAACTATGAAGGAACACATATGGAATTATCTAGTTAACAACAAAGTGTTAAAAAATCCAGAATATGATTTTGTATTCTTCAGAGTAGCCCCCTTTTGCCTTGATAACAGCTTTGCACACTCTTGGCTTCTCTCAGTCAGCTTGTTGTGTTTCAAAATTCCTCTGCGAAGCAAGGAGTCGGACCAGGCAGTAAGGTTATAATAAAACTGATTTATTTCAGTTGTGATAAGGAATACAAATGCTCAGCTGAGGTCTCTGGAGATCAGCGTTCCACAGGCCGCGAGCAGTTCCCACTCCAAGCAGTTAACTGTCGAACATTATGTTGTGCTCACCATTAACACTGTCATGAAGCTCACTTCTCTTCATAGTTTAAGACCTTCTGGTAGCACATTATTCATAAACATTTCTTTATGAGCAAGCAATAATATTCTTCAAGCTTTATGAGGTCGTCACCTGGAATGTTTTTCAATTAACACGTGTGGCCTTGTCAAGAGTCAATGTGTGGAATGACTTGCCTTCTTAATGTGTTTGAGACCATCAGTTGTGTTGAGCAGAGGTAGGGTTAGTACACAGTGGAAAGCCCTATTTGACTACTGCTGTAATCCATATTATAGCAAGAACCAGTCAACTCAGTGAAGAGAAGTGACCGTCTATCATCACTTTAAGAAATGAAGGCCAGTCGATCCGGAAAATGTCAAGAACTTTGAATTCATCCTCAAGTGCAGTCGCAAAAACCATCGAACGCTATGATGAGACTGGCTCTCATGAGGACCCCCCCGGGAAAGGAAGAGCAAGAGTTACCTCTGCTGCAGAGGATAAAAACATCAGTTACCAGGCTCAGAAAGAACACATTAAAGCACCTCAGATTAGAGCCCACATAAATGTTCACAGAGCTGAAGTAGCAGACAAATCTCAGCATCCACTGTTCAGAGGAGACATCGTGAATCAGGCCTTCATGGTCCAATCGCTGCAAAGATCCACTACTGAGGATGAACAACAAGAAGAAGAGAATTGTTTGGGCCAAGAAACACAAGGATTGGACATTAGATCAGTGTAATCTGTACTTTGGTCTGATGAGTCCACATTTTAGATTTTTGGTTCTAGCCGCCATGTCTTTGTGAGACGCAGAGAAGGTGAGCGGATGGTTTCTGTGTGTGGTTCCCCCCGTGAAGCATGGAGGAGGAAGTGTGATGGTGGTGGGGGGGGGGGGGGGGGCTTTGCTGGTGTTGGTGATTTATTCAAAATTCAAGGCACACTCAACCAACATGGCTACCACAGCATTCTGCAGTAATATAAATCGTATTCTGGATTTGTTAACGCTTTTTTGTAGATAATTCCATAGGTGTTATTTTATAGTGTTGATGTCTTCAGTATGAATCTACAATGTAGAAAAAAATTAAATAAATCAAAAACTTTGAATGAGAAGGTGTGTCCAAACTTTTGACTGGTAGTGTATGTCACTTTAATGTACAAAAGACACGTACTCACTCACCAACAGATTCAAGTATTAAAGTCAAGATGAAGGTGACGGACAAGGTCACAGTGTTGTCAATCAATCAATCAATCAATGTTTATTTATATAGCCCAATAACATAAATGTTACATTTGTCTCAGTGGTCTTCACAGTGTGTACAGAATATCAGTATGACAATACGACACCCTCTGTCTTTAGACCCTCACATCATACAAGGAAAAACTTCCGGAGAAAACCCACAGTTTAAAGGGAAAAATGGGAGAAACCTCAGGGAGAGCAACAGAGGAGGGATCCCTCTCCCAGGACGGACAGACGTGCAATAGATGCCGTGTGTAAATCGAAAAGATAATACATTTGCAACATAGGTAGTCCAAATGTTTGGAAATGCATGTGTGTATAATAAGAAGATGAATCCACGAGGATGTCAGCAATCTTGTGGGAGCCATCAGGGAAGTAGTATGATGAGAGTCTGGTAGGACCGCAGAGACAGGTTCAGCCACGACTCGAAGTCCAGGACTCAGATCCAGTACTCAGGATAGAGGATCCAGGACACGACCACAGCAACAGGATTAGCCTCGACTCAGGATCCCGGCGTAGATATGGACACAAAAAAGAGATTTGGGGGAAACTGGGTTAATCGGAACATGTACACAGGTACAAACAGCCAGAAAGACGGAGTAAGGTGCCCCTCCCAACAGTCCAAGCCTGTAGCAGCTAAACTAATGTGTCTATCTACATACATGCACTCCCTTAGGATAGGTTGAGGGAAAAGGGTAGCAAGTAAGAAGTAGGAAACAGAGGTGGAGAGGCACACGCAGGGAGAGAGGTCCCCACTGGAACCTGAATTTGTCAGAGGTAGGAGTAGGTCTGTGGCTACGTTCCACACTCCCCGGCCGGGCTAGGCGTTCTCTGCAACCTGTTACCCTCTAATAAACCTCGAGAGGTCAGAGAGGGGAAAGCTTTGGATAAAGTTTTAAATATAAGATCTAAGTTTTTAGGATTTAAGTGAAAGAGTAAGAACTAAAATGTATAGGTGAAGAGGCACAACGTATCTACGTCAATGCACTCTTATTAGATTATTTTATTTTATCACTATAAGCTTTATCAAAAAGGAAGGTCTTAAGCGCACTCTTAAAAACGGATAGGGTGTCTGCCGCCCGAACACAAACTGGAAGCAGATTCCACAAATGTGGAGCTTGATAAAAAAAGGCTCTGGCTCCCATTGTACTTTTAGAGATGTCAGACAGCTGATTCATAATGTGAGAAAGAGTGGATAGTAACTTTCGCATAGTCTAACTCCTGGACGAGGGAACAGTGAGGGACTGTTGGTTGGTGAAACTGACCAGTTGAGCATTTAATGCATGATGCAAACACATGTTGCAGTGTGCTAGTAATAAAGCTCTAAATGCTATTAAAAAAACTTTTGTTTGAAAAAGTCACACAGATATTTGTGCCTTTTTAAAAAGGCTTAAGGACATTGGAGTTTAAGAATGTAACCTTTGGCGATGCTTATTTGAATAGTAATTTGGCACAATTATCTTAACTAAGCTATTTGTCCATGCATCTCTGGTGTTTCCACTTCTGATGGCAGTGTTGGCAGCAGGGGCAGCCACTCAGTCCAGAACAGGGTTTGGAGGCTTACTATGAAAGTGTAATTCGTTACAAAGTCACATGGATATTTTTTAAATCTGTAACGTAGTCTAAGTAATACAATATAAATGCAATGTAAACTGATTACTTTCCGTTACTTTTGGATTACCTCGATATAATACAAAGACAATCAATACAAAGTAAAGAAATATTGATAAGATGTTATGTGAGACAACAGAACAATGTGTCATCATCATCAGTTTACAAACGCTGTTTTAGTTTACAACTTCAATTCAAAGAAAACGCCATTTTTTGTTTGATAAATCATTTGTCTATACTGCATTAAAAAACTAAATATAAAATCAAAGAATAAAAAACTAAAAGAAAATTCAAACAGTACCTCTACCTATAATATATATCTTTATTTTAAAATGTTTTGTAACCTGCTATTAATCCCCATTTTTAAAGAATGTACCAGTAATTTGATTACATCCGTGTTTATGTCAAAGTGAATGAATCCGGTTACATGTGATCTGTTAATCCCCAAGCCTGGTCCAGACATCCCTCTTCCCAGTCAGTTATTGTAGCTCCTCCTGTTAGATTTTAAGATGTAGAGCTGAGCAGGAATATATCTTATTATTACCGCTCCACCTCCCACACGGTCCCTGGTTTCTTTATTACCAGAAAGTGTTCGTCCCTAGATCCACAGCAGTGTCAGCACACCCAGCTGACAGTAAACCAACCCCCATGGCCCTGCTCTGCAGGTAGGGCCACACAGAAAATGTGTGCCTTCCTGTAGTTTTATTAGGCTGTACCTGAAGGCACCACACACTCCCAGGTCTGATGTACCCATTCTGTGAATTGGGACATTCTTTTACATCCAAACCACCACTGAGAGTATGTGATAAATAAAGCTTGAATCATGAATGTGTTGCCTGGGAGCAGACATAGTAAAAGAGTTGTTGTTCAGTATTTTGTGTTTGTCTCCCTCTGGTGGTCAGGTATCGTCGGTTCCAGCGCTCCAACAGTGTGACAGCAGCGGTGCAGGTAAGCTGCATCCACTGCTGCTTTGAATTACTCGGCTTTAAACATGAACCCCTGAAAGGAACTGTTTATTCTCTCTTCGTCCACTTTGTATTAGTTAATAAGGTATCAATATAGGAAAATGTATCAAAATACAGAACCACAGTCGTGTTATTAAGCAACTAAGTAGATTTACTTAAATACTGTACCTAGTTTGAGGTATTTGTACTTTACTTGAGTATTTCAATTTGTGCTACTTTGTACTTCTACTCCTCTACAATTGGAGGTAAATGTACTTTTACTCCAATACATTTATTTAATAACTTTAGTTTCTTTACAGATATAGATTATTGATAAACAGTTTGATCAACACTAAAATCAGACTTTATTATACACCTGGATCCACAATCTACCCAGAAGTAAATACATAAATGATAACTAGTTACACCTTTACCAGCTTCATAAACACATCAATAATTGCAATAATCTGCATCACTCTTACTTTTGGTACTTTAAGCATATTGTGATGCTAATACTTCTGTACTTTTTCTTGGGTAACATTTTGAATGCAGGACTTTTACTGTAACAGTACAGAGTATTCCAACACTCTGGTAGTTGTACTTTTCCTAAGTACAAGATCTGAGTACTTCTCCGCTGCCACCTATAAGAGCTCTTATAGTCAGAGGCACATTATTCATGAGATAAGTTGTTCCCGGCCTAAATAGGCTTCAAATCATTTGGAAGCAAGTGGACACCTTGTGGTCAAAAAGTCTTCCAACCATATGCTCATTGAGACAGTTTTTGAGATGTATTCTTTACCATGCAGGCAGACCTGGACCTGCCGGACCTGCCGGACCTGCTGGACACCCCCCTGGATTCCCCGGACACCGACATGGAGGTCCTGTCCTCGGGGGCCCTCTCTCGACAGTACTCCCGCGATGCTGCCACCTCCACGGTCAGCATCCAGGGCTCAGGGAACCACTACCACGCCTGCACCTCCGACGACTACGACGATGTGGGCTTCGACCCCTCCATCCTCCCCCCCCCGGACCCCTGGATAGACAGTGTGGCAGATGACTCACTGGATGTCAACTTCAACAGCTCTGCTATTCTGGAGGTATGTGGGAGCATGCTCCGCCATTTTATAAGAACAGGGCTGGGACGTCCAAGGAACAAAGCATTGATTTATTTCACTGTTTCCTGACTCACTCATTAACTCCAAACAATGACTTCTGTTCATGCCTTCATCGTGTTGATCTGGGGGTAACTCTGCACTAACACAAGTGTTATAGTAAAAAGGGAAGACATTAATAGAAGTGTAATTTGACTAACCTAACTGCTAGTGAAAAAACAATCATAGATTCCTCTTTTAATAGCCTTTTCTCTGTTGTATTTATGCAAATTGCTTTATATTGCATCCTTAGAAAGTGTTATTAAATTCCGTTGACATTTGTGTAGCTCAGTGTTCTTGTATATTAGACACAGAAACACACAATCCCTAATACCACACTAACATCATAACATCTTTTTGAAAAGCTTCCATAATGATGTGAAGTATGTGATGTGAAGTGTCTATCACCTAATGACATCAGCATTAGATTACAATATAGGGAGCATGTGGCTCAGTGGGTGGTGTAACCCCTGCTGCAGTCAGTAATGGCGCGTTTCCACTGCAGCGGGGTAGCCCCGTTTAATCGTCCCTAAGCGTCCTCGCTCTGGCCTCGGGCTGCCTCGCTGGCCGGCCCAGGCCGTGGTGCATTTCCATTACAGTTTAGGACCTGGGGTAGCAACGCAGTGTAGGCGGGGCGATCGGCTTTGTTTTTGTTCACATTTCGAGTTGTTCCGTCGAGCTCCCGCTGGATTTGATCATCCCCAATGAGATGTAGGAACGTCGTCACCTCCTCGGTCGACCACGGTGTGCTTTTCTTATTAGACGTAGCCATTTTTGTAGCTCCTCCGTTTACAAAATGCTGTTTATAAAAATGCTGCAAGCTTGCTTCTAAATATATATGCGACGCTAGGGATGAACTCGCGCGCGATCTTGTGACGATTCTCTCTGACCAATCAGCAGTCGAGAGTGTTGACGTCACTAGTTCAGCCCTGGTCTGAGGGAACCACGATTTTACGAGGCCGGAAAAAGAGGGAAAAAGTACCCGCTAGCCGGTACTAGGCTATATGGAAAGGCCACCAAAAACTGGCCTGGCCGCTTGAGGACGGTTAAGGACGCTTAAACGGGGCTACCCGCTGCAGTGGAAACGCGCCAAGGCAAGGCACTTCACCCCAACTTGCTCCTGTGGGGATTTCCCACAGTACTGAATGTATGTAGGATGCTTTGGATAAAAGCATCTTTCATATCAGTGGTTTTCATTTGATTGATGCAGTTACATTTTAAATCACTCAATTGTTTTAGAAATGTAAACTCAACACTTTACTGCCACAATCTTTTAAATGTATGAAAGATAAAAGGTTTTGTTTTGATGTTGCTGCTGGCTGCTACAGGAGATGTTCACCTCAACAGAAACGTGCTGTCGGACACTGAATGAGGGAGAGAACATTCAAACCACTAAAGTGTTGCTGTGAAATCATGACACCTAAAAGCCAGTGGTATAACATTCAGAAAGGACCTTTAGTTGTTTAATCCACCTCGGAAACATGATTCTGTACTGTATTACCGTGTGACAGTAATGTGTCATCAACACAGGTGAACGCTCGGTGTGGGCTGTGACGGATTATTGATTATTAAACTCCAGCAAGTTTACAGAACAAAATGGAGGCAGTAGATAAACAAAAAACGGTCAGCAAAGGTCATGGATAAGATCCTGTCAATGGCTTTTCTCCTTTATTTCTTATTTCTTAACAGATACCAAATGACGAACAGTGCAGGAAGAGTCAAAAACCCATTGCGCTTATTTGAAGCCTCTCCCTTAATAATGTTAAAAATCACCATTTTATATAAAACACAAGATCAATATGCAAACAATTGCTTGAATTCAATAAAAATGGCAAACTTTTCAAACAACATATACTATATTAAACATTTAAATAAAGTAACACTAATATGAATATGAAAACCAGGCATCATACAGAGGTCAGGTTTCTTTAACCATAACAGTAAAGCAGTCAATGTGAAGTATATCATGTCATAAAACAAACTGGAAATAAATGCTATATTGTATTCTAGAGATGAAGTTTTATGTTGAGTAATTTAGTTGGTCTTTTAGTTATCCGACATTACACACTGTTTGATATTTCACATCAATAGTTAGCAAGCAATGGAAACATCATTTATGATACCGTGCATGCTGGATACCGTATGCCTCTGTCACATGGCAGTGAATGTAAAGTGGCTGCAGGTGTGTCCACATGTTGTGAAGCTGGATGTTTGCCTGGCAGGTGGTGCAGCGCTCCGTGTGCCACAGAGACGGACACTGGTTCCTGAAGCTGCTGCAGGCGGAGACCGACCGCATGGACGGGTGGTGTCGGCAGATGGAGCTGGACCAGAGGGACAACGACCTTCCGGAGGACAGTACGTCTCTGTTGTCATGTAGAGGCTTCCATGCATGTAGCCTGGAGTGGAAGAAGAGTGTTTACTTAAGTAAAAGTAGCAATACTACAGTGTCAAAATACTCAGTTACAAGTAAGAGTCCTGCAAAATTCAATTCAAAATGATACTTTAGTAAAAGTAACAAAGTACTAGCATCAAGATATACTTTAAGTACCAAAAGAAAAGTATTCATTATGCAGAATGGTCCATTTAAGCACCAGACATTTGAATAATTGTTTTATCATTATTGATGCTATTCCTCACTTCAATGTTGCACTTGGTACAAGTGGGCTTTATTTGATTACCTATACGTATAATAATGGGTTGCTTGACCTATAATAGTATATGATCATGAATTCTTTGATTTATATTTTGTATCAATAGCCTTAATCTGTGAAGTAGATATTCACTTAATACTGTATGTCAAAGAAATGTAGGGGAATAGAAATATGAAGTTGCATATTGTGAATATACTCAAGTCAAGTACAGGTACTTCAATGTTCTGTGCTTGTGTTGTTCTCTGCCATGCTTATTCATGGGAAAAATCCGAGCTGGAATTACGGGAGCAACTTTGATTCATTAGCATTCATATTCTTTTCCACGCGTTCAGGTTTCCAGATGAATCGCATTACATGATTTCACAAGAACTCAGAAGAACTGAAAGGATTCACATAACTGTATTAGGTTAGTTGAAAGCAATCATATTACGTTTAAATATCAAATATTAGGTTCAACTTAATGTTATTGCTTTCAACTTACCTGATAATAATACATGGTATTTATATAGTGCTTTGCTCAAAGACACTTTACATGTTACTTTTAGACGCTTTTGTCCAAAGCGACTTACATGCATTCTGTTGCCATAATACACTTCATTCAAGTCAACTTTTCCGTTTTTTGGGTGAACGCACTGGACATGGGCACATGGCAGAGCTGAGAGGCGTGACGAGTGTTGTTAACAGTCTCTGAGGAGCAGAGAGTGTGTGTGTGTGTGTGTGTGTCTCTGAACTGTCTCTGTCTCTCAGTCCTGGGGAAAATGAGGAGTGCGATGGGAAGCGCTCAGCTGCTGATGTCTCAGAAGTTCCAGCAGTTCAGGGAGCTGTGTGAGGAGAACCTGGTGAGACTGAGCGCTGACATTACATTCTACATCTTTCACTTTGTGTGGGACACTTTTCACTGAGCTAAGATTTGATTTTCAATGACATTCTTCATTCCTTGAATGACTTTGGATTTCCTTTACCCATGTATTTATTTCCTGCTTCTTCTTCCAAGTTCTTTTTCATTTCCTCAAACTTTTGTACTTCTCACTGACCTAATGTTTGTGACATTCTGAAATTAAATATTTTGTAATATTTGTATCTTGAGATGTTGGTCAGTCAGACTCAGACATCTCAGCAACTCACTGAGTACATTGTGCTGAACGTTGGGACGGATATTTCTTGCCCACATAGGAAACATCCTATGTATTGATCGCTTGAATTTCCCTGTGGCCAAAATTAGATCAACATTTAACAATATTTCCGTCAAAGAGTAAATCTTAAACCATATCTTTTTCACTTTGTAAAATAATGATACTTAATTACATATGAATGTTATAATCATTTATCATATCAAATGATAACATTTTGATGGATATCTTTCTTGATTTAGTTTAGTTTAGCATATGATAACTTTTAGATACCCTTTCCTATCATTTTTGATAGCAGTGATACATGTCTTCACTTCACATCAATATAACTAGTTCTGCTACTGTGAATATTGCAAGTAAAAAAAAGATCAAATCGTATTAACTACTAAAATAATAAAGGAAAAGTCAGTATGCAGTCCAACCAGCATGTTTCAGCTACATATTGGAGTTTACGAAAGAAGCATAGGGGTCTTATTGGACGCCCCTGTGTTCTACCTCAAGACATTGTGGTACAACAACAAAATGTGTTGTAAAAATATACATTTGTATTACTGTATTTAATAAGGTTTATCTTCCCTGTCTGTAATATCTGAAACTTATTTCTCCCCCCCCATCCTCTGTTCCCACTGTCCCAGAACCCGAACGCACACCCCCGCCCGGTGGCCTCAGACCTGGCAGGGTTCTGGGACATGCTGCAGCTGTCCATCGAGAACATCAGCCTCAAGTTTGACGAGCTGCACCAGCTCAGAGCCAACAGCTGGAGACCCCTGGACCCCCCCGACAGAAAGGTACACATTATCAGTCTGCTGTCGGTTGATCAGCGATAACACCCCCATCTAAAGAGAAGGTTTCATATTCTTTCTTATAGTCATAGATGCAACAAATGACTTTGTTTTGTAGTACCCTCAGGTCATTTACTGTTCTGCTTTTCCATCGGTGTATCAGAGATTTTCACCAAATGTAATTTCACATAAACCCAATGCTTTGGAGTCCATTTAGCCAATACAACACCTAGTGTGTTAGCAAAGTCATTATCTATCACGCTGAACAGAAATCCTCGGATCCTGACATGGATCTAAAATGAAAGAAGAAAATGACTCATGATGATCAGAATACTGCCTTCATATTTTGGGCTATCAGTTTCAGATTGACTAAGAGTGACTTATTATTTTTCAGTAGTTTCCATGGTGAAACCTTTGGTCATCAAAGTTCTGTCATTCACCTGCTTCTGATTTAGAGTGTTTGAGACCAAGCCCACTGCTCTCCAACCATCACCACCCAGACAGAACACTAACTCATGCTACATTAAGATCATCCAATGACTTCCTGTACACTTCATGCCCATAACACACTGGTTTGTAACAACTGATGCATTGCTTGCTCTATGGCCATAGCATGCTTTTTGTTGTATTTTGAAGATACTGCCATTATGCGAGACGACAGCTCAACTACATTTCTTTTCTTTCCATTAGGCGCTTTCACACCGGAATACTTTTCCCCTTTAGTTCCGTTAGTGCCTGGGATTTTGCGTTCACACCAAAAAGAGAACTTAGTTCAGAGAACTTTTACCCCCATTTTTAGTCCCTGCTAGAGAGGTGGTACTTTCCTGGGGAGAAAAATGTTTCCAATTTCTGATTGGCTGGGCGAATTGCAAACCACGCCCCGTAGAACTCTGAAAAGTTTTGTGTAGCCGTCACTGTATTTGCTGGCATTAGCATTATTAGCATTAGCCGCCCCGCGCACCAACGGAGAGAGACTAACTTATGGCAACACAAAAGAAAACATGGGAGCGGTGGAGATGAGGAGGTGTCGGCGTTCTGGCGATTTACTCGTAAGGCTTCAGTAGAAGCTGCTGGGAGTCCCAGCAGCTTCTACTGAAGCCTTCCCCAACTCCGGGGACTTCCGGCCGGGGACTTCGGGTGGCAACAGAAGTTGTTCGCGGCCTGCCAGTAAACCCAAAGCAGAAGAAGAAGAAGTGACGTCAGCGGCTTCATTTGCGTAATCTTCCCTCAGGAACTTATTCCAGAGTGAACGCGATCGGCTCTTAGTTCCATGGGGATACTAAGTGCTGGGAACTAAGTGCTGGGAACTAAGTGCTGGGAACTAAGTGCTGGGCACTAAGTACGGCAAAGTACTTGGTGTGAAAGCGGCTATTGTTGATAATTGATGAAATTATCAGAAATGTGTTGCACAATCTGAAATGCATCTAAATAGAAATCGACACAAATTGAGAGTAATTTAGTATTACGCCATCTCACAGAGTGTTGCATGAACCTGCAGGGCTGTTATAGGGTATGATTGTGAAGCCTAATAATCAGAGGACAGTCACACACCTTGTTCGTGGATGGAAGCCTTTATGCTGGATGAAAAGCAGGTAATAATGCCCACTGTTAGAATAACCTTAGCAGCCATTCTGAATAATACCTTCTTTGGAAATATTCCTCATGCAAGCTTTAAGTGTGAGTTTGGTAGAGTTGCAATATCTTTTCACTTGCTGCATTATCAACCTATGACGTTAAGCAAAGAACATCTCCTTTATGTATTTCACTCAGCCGTCCCTCATGCTGCAGTTTTTGCATGGTTGTCTGACTTGTTCTCTGTGGTGCTACAGATACTCTTCCTCCTACTCATGTTTGAGTGTGAATGTCTTTCAGATATCTGGCGCCTGGCCTGCAGTATCTGTTGTGGCTTTGCTTCATTGAATACTGACTCTGCCGGCTTCCTCATTTGCTCTCATTGTTGTCTCCTTTTCTTTCTTGTGCTTTTTTGTGTTGACAGTGAAGGCGCTTGCATCAATCTGCATAACTGCAATGCCAACAGCACCACGGGGCCTTGACACCTCTGGGCCTCCGTAGCTCCATAACTGTCTGTCTTTCCATCCATCTGTCCATGCTTCCTCTGCCCCTCCTCCCCTCTGCCGCCGCCTCCCCATCTGTGGCTTTCTGTTGTGTGTGTTTAGCTGCAAGTGGAAGGACACATGGACAGGAGAGAGTGTGGTTCAAGTCCTATACAATGAATACCAAGAATAAAACACAAACACAAACCCTAAAATAGCAACAGGGGGATAAAAGCAAGTAAATATACTAGTAAAAGAATATTGTGCTATCCAGAAACAAATGCAATATTCAAATAACATTTGTATTGCAGTTTAAAGTCCCGGCCACACGAGAACGATAACGCAAACGGACCGCAATCGTTATCAAAAAAGTCTTCCGTCCACACGCAACAGGCACCAGAAACGTGTCCGTTCACACGAGACCGCTGGAAACGCTGTAGTACATATGCCAGGCCTGTAAGTGGCGCTGTACTCCGGCCACAAAATACACCAAAAGCAGCGAGTATAAGATCCCCCCGAGAAGGATACAAAGTTATTCAACCAATTATTTTCATGGTTGGGATCCCTTTGTCTGTGCATAATGTGCGTCTTACTGGACTAAGCAAATGCAGCCTTAGTCTTCATTAAGTCCACTCAGGATCTAGTAGAAAAAGGCTCAGCTCAGTGTAGAATTGTATTTCAAAATCAGGAATGAATAAGATAATAACATAATGGGTGAATACAGAATTTTAGGTTGGGACGCTAAAATCAGAACATCATATTCAGTCTTTCAGCTATAGAGAAGGACTTTAAAACACGTGTGATTTAAAAGAGGCGTCAAATCTTTAGAAAACAGCATCTCTGATTATTGGTTTCATTGTTGGACAATACTGAGTAATGTCTCAGACTAACAACAACTTCATCTGACTTGTCATTTCAATCAAAAAGATTTTGACAGCTGGTTTTTAAGGTCCTGTAAATAAATAGCGCTCACATGGTTAAATATCTGGTTTATTATCACTTGGATCTTATATCTATAGTTCTGACCGCTTGAGTCTATCAGTGAGGACAACAAGTCAATTGCTTAGATATGGCAATAATTGTTCAAATGAGTCAGACAGGTGGAGAATCATGGGCGAGCAGACGGTCAGGTTGGGAGCCTCAAACAACATTTGGGTTCACAGACCAACTTCCTGCTTTAAATCTTCCCATCATTCTTTTTGGAGTTGATTGTAGTCGTGGCTTTTTCCATCTCAGTTATTTATTCGTTGAGTAAGATGTGGTGTTATCGGATATAAATGAGCGACTAAATGATAAAAAGAAGACCGAATATATCGGAATTGTTATATGTAATCAGAGAAATTGGACATCACGTTTACAGTTTGTACAGTTATCAACCAAATGAAATAAGTGCAGGAACAGACCCTGCCATTCATTCATTATATTTGTTATATAAAACCTGGAACCATAAGGTCACACACAAACACACGTTGAACAGTAGGTAGGATTTTAGCTGCCCAATGCAGATGGATTGTTGTACAGCAAAGAAACGTTTATTGCAAAGAATATGGAACAAATGTGTGAATAAACACGTTTAGAAAATAAGTTAAGATTCCACAATAAGAGCATCTAAAGGAGCTGCGCTTCTGTTGAAACAGTGTTTGATGCAATATGTTGAACATGTGCAGATAGGATTAGCAAGATAGGATTCGAAAAGAAAAGATTTGGACAGGAAGTCTAATCCTCCTCTAATGAACGGCCAGTATTACAAACACAAAGGGAACAGGCATACAGGGAACCAGGAGCCATTAGAGGCACAATCACAGGCACACAAACACGTCTGTCTTTTCCCTGAAATGTTCTCCCCCCCCCCCCCTTACCGTCCTCTCCCACTAGGAGAGGCGGCTCCCACCTCCAGTGCCAAAAAAGCCTCCCAAGGGCCCCCACCACCACCCCCCCCTGGCCAGAGACCGCTCCCTGGAGAGCTCAGAGAAACAGCGGCAGGAGGCCAGGAAGCGCCTGATGGCCGCCAAGAGAGCGGCGTCCGTGAGGCAGAACTCGGCCACGGAGAGCGCCGACAGCATCGAGATCTACATCCCCGAGGCTCAGACCAGGCTATGAGGGCACAGCAGGGACTCACACACACTCAACATACACAACACACACATGTAGGCTTGTCCACGCTAACGTGTAAGGGTGTAACCAATTTTAAAATGTCTTAAAGCATCATACACAAATCCCTACAGTGAGGGGAGTTGGCTCTTTACAGTTGTTCCCTATCTATGGTATTAAAATAGCTCTTCAAAATCATACAATTCAGTATTTTCTTAACATTCGTATCTTTTGAACCACTTTAAATGTGCAGTGCCAACCTGAGACTGACTAATAAAAAGAAAGTCTTACATGCTCATGCTAATGAGACAGGGAGCTTTTACAATCTTTCTCAATAGCCTTCTCATTACAAAGAGCTATTTCAAAACTCATTTGTTGTAATCTGGACCTCTTCCAATGCACGCACAGCAGGCAGTAAGGCAGCACTGTTTGGAGCTTTTTCCTTTCCCAAGATAGACACATGAAACCTACTTTAATATCATCCTCCTTTTATAAACACACCCTCAAGAAAATCATGTAGTACAAACAATTGTTGAATCCCGCCCGCAGCCCTCACTGAACGGTCGCTTTTGAAGATGGAATTCCAAAAGTATTGCAAATCATAATACCTTGGTTATCCTCCTCTGTACAGACATTGGCTTTGTGTTACACCCTTACCAACAGATTTGCAGTTGACTTTCAAGACCCACAGGACCCAGATACTGAACCCCTCAGTGTGTCGGCCATGACCTGTAAGAGTTACGTGTTCACCCATCATCTACACGGGGAGCACACCTGACGCTTCAACACTGTCTAAGGATATGTCTCTCATCAAAGAGGCCAAATGTCCTTTTGCAAAAGGCCTCAGCTATGTTACAGACATTCTCTGTATTACCTTTGCTCTGCTATAAATAGTAAATATAACACATATCAAAATATCATATATTATACAATAACAAATGATATATAAATGTACGAAAACGGGCCAATATAGAATGGTGCAGAATTGACTCCTAAACCCAGAAATAATTTAGCATTTTTAGCAAAAGAAATTTAAAAGGTGTTTTTGGTTAAAGTCTGTGGTCTAAGGTCTCTGGTAAACACAAGTTTAAATAAGAAATGACTTCTTTTTTTTTATATCAAAAGATATATCAGTAAATACCCCACTGATGAACGTCTGAAGCTTCCTTGTGTCTTAAAAACAGCGGTTGCTAAGAGACTAAATGAGACTACTAAAAGTCATTACGCTAAACATTAGCCGTTTAACCTTTAGCTTAGCGGTGGTGACATAAAGTAATGTAGTTTGTTTATAGAATAACGTTAGCTTTTTAATGTTTAAGTATCATAAACATGCGTTTTCCTTAGAGATTATTTGCTGCAATATTTAAAAATCCAATAGAAAAAGCCCTTTGCTTTTTGTCGAGGGAGCCCTTGCCATGCTAACTACAGAAATACATCATCACTGCACTGCTCTACACATAGCCTTCAACCTCAAATGAATAACCTTCAACGTAACTCTGATGAGGGGCTTCAGCCATGTGTCGCCAACAGGATCAAATAAAGTATGAGACCACCACTTGACTTTGCATGCTGGTGTGATGCTGCCAGTGTTCTAACCTCACAGGTTTGGTGGCATGACACAGGACATGGGTATCTGTCGGTAAATGTTGAAGCTTTGGTCTGTGGGTCTTGTAAAATGGCAAGAAGGTGCAATATGTGCAGCGGTGATGGACAGTCTTCCACACACAGAACACACACACACAGCCAGTAGTAAACACACAATCATAAAGTGGTGTCATAGGGACACACTTGAAATACACACTGGTGTACACACACACACACTCGGCCCGTCAGCGCCCACAGATGATCCTCTGCTGTAATATCAATCTCTCTGGGGGAGAGAGCGCCATGATCGCTGTTGATCTTCATCTTCCTCTCCACACCACATCAGTTCTTTATTGAGCTCCATGTAATAATGAACTTGTATTTTCTTCTTCTATGGTGGACTCTCTAAAACAAAAAGGGGACAATATCTCAAAGGAAAATTCTGTTGTTTTACCAAACTTAGATGTATTTTCATAGTTGTTGACATGATTCTGTTTGGTTGTGATGGGGTTACACTCACAGGTTGTGCCACAGGGACTGCACTGCCACCAGGCAGACTTTAAGCAGACATTCATTCAAGGATTTGTTTAAAAACGGTCTGCTTGCTTTTCTGGTTGCGTCCTCTGTAATTTAGCATTTCAGCTATTAATGACCAAAACGACAAAAAACGAAGTTGTAAATAAACACCATTTTCTTTTACCCCAGCCTGTGTAACTTAGACAGCCATCAAGAGAATTAGAAGTGCTGATACTTTCAAACACACTTGATGGAGACATGCTGAGAAATGAAAGGGTTTGGGTGTTTAGATGATCACCACCTGTAGGTCACACACTCCTTATTTGGTTTGTCAGTTCTCCTTGGATTTTAAGAGGATTTGTATTTCACAGGGTTCATTTACACTTAAGCAATATTTAAAGGAGATATAATGGATGGCCTAAAGATTTACGTTGTAACACAAGACCCTGTTATTATGAAGTTGGAATGAGACAGAACGTGCGGTGGAGAATCATCTTGTGGCAGCTCTTAGTTGTGCAATTACACATCTTTCTATTTTCAAGATGTCCAAGTGCATTTCTTTCCTCATTAAACATCGATGTTTAGAAAGCCATGCCATGTGGAAGACTCTGGTAGTCAAACAGATCTTCCTTGCTGTTTAGAGATAGAAGAATATCAATGCTGCACTTTGTGGACACAAAGGGATTTGAAATAAAGCCTTGATAGTAATGCGGTGGTTGCAAAACAAGAGCTTCCAGGAGTACATTGAAAGGCCCCTGAATAAAGTTAGATATAGTCTTTATTCAGAGTTTTTAATCCATCTATGAGCTGTACAGAGAGAGCGTTTTTAATCTACTCTGCATCCTTTGGAAATGTGGCAGAAAGTTACCAGGCGTTAGGATGTTGGCCTGGCATTATCATCCGCTGCATCGATATCACCTTCTTTACATCGCTAAACTGGTTTTAGCTTCAGGAGGCCGTGATGAGCACAATATGCAGCTTGAAATGTCACTCAGAGACAGAGAGCCTGCTAGCATCACGCAGTGTGTCATACCGATAGCAGTTAGCAGCTCATTGGCTGCTCAGATATACCTCTCTTGCCAAATGGAAAACCAGCCATTAGCATATGCTAAGCTAAGGAAAGGGACTCTCAATCATCCTGAGCTGGCTTACTGAACAGAATTCACCAACGTGATGTCAAAACTGTGAAAAAGACAACAACTGTATCCACTGCTCATGATGACTCCCTTCAGTTGATGTAGTGAATATGGCTGTGATTCACTTTAGTGAGACCGGCCACTCAGTTAGAACCAGGTGTGGCAGTGTGTGCTGATCTTTCCACTTAACCAGAGTAGCTTTTCTGTGCTTGCTATTGGACAGAATGGAACAGCTGCCAGGTTAAATGATTCTGAGCTTATATGTGGATGAAGTAGCAGTTTAGCTTTCATATATATCAATGAAGGGATTCTGGATAATTAGGAATACATGTTTACTAGAACTATCCTAAAATGTAACTTACATTTCAAATGTACTATTTTGGTGTTTAGTTACAAAGCTAGACATTCTTATAATGCCATTGCTAGCATAGATAGCTTCACATTACACTGCTTAATATCAGAGCATTCGTTTTTCTTTACAGTAAATCAACAGAAATATAACTCATATTCTGGATACTGCTTATTTATTTATTTGTGTATCCAGGCGTGTGGTCCTCTCTGGTGTTTACTCATCTGTGTGAGTCACACTCCGCCTGTGGACACAGTTGTTGTCCTCAGTGTCTCTGGACTTGTCAAATAACCCTGAAGATGTCACAGTGATGTCATTGAGGTTATCTCAACTTGAAGACTAATAACTGAAACTGTTACAACCTGGAGATGATGATGTTTATCAGACAATAATGGTCCAACAGAGCAACCGAGTTTCCTGATAAATAAAGTTTCCGTAACTGCTTTCCCGACGACGTTTGGAGGGACGTCTCTTCCGGATTACTTTTGCTGTCTAAAATACATGGTTATCGCTGTAAACTAGTTGCCAGTAATGTGGACCCAGAGATGTTGAAAACCCCATAGTCATATAAATGTCTAGTAGGGTCCCCAGCACATAGAAGCTGCCGGATGCTAACAGGCACATGTTGGGCAATTAGCGTACGTTGCGTTGGACAATAGTTATAAAATGGCTTGGCAGAGTGGGACACTTTTCGAGTGGTTTTGGGGCTATTGAGGATGCTGAATCCATTTCTGATATTTTCAGGATCAACCATGACCGGTTTAACTAGAAAATGTCCATATTTCTACTCGCCGATGGAATGATTTTGACGGTTTTTGAAGTTTTAGAGGATTGAAAAAATGGAATTAAAAAAGAAAAATTGAAAAGTAGGACTTGGTTGGGTTAAGGAAATATCGTTGTTCGGCTGAAAATAGCTGCGTTTGTTACGTTATTTTCTTTACAGAGCTAAATTAAAATAAGTTGAATTTCAAAAATGTGTTTCCCTTAAATGTAATTGACAATGCAGTTTTGTTGCTTTAAACAACATTTTGAAGGGACCATACTTTAAACCCTCTTTCATATTGCAATATGGAAAATTAAGATTGACGCAAACGAATGACTAAAAGTTGGGATATTTAGCCTCAGACTGATGCTTCAGTTTTGCCGACTATTTTTGAATCTGTCTCCTGGCCCCTCATTTTAATGCAAGCACAATACTAAATGGCCGGAGTCCCCTGTTAATTCAAAGAAAATACTTATTTAAAAAGCTTTGAAAAGCACACCAAGCCATTCCCCATGTACCTGCTACACGTCCTGACCAGAGTTCTGAAGTGAAAGAAGAAGACATTCCAAACCCATATTTCATATTCCACAGCTGAAGCACCTGGGTTCAACAGGGACAAAGAAATCATCTTTTGAGCAAAGCTGGTTTCTTTGGAGCCACATGTTTTTTATCTGTAATAATGCCATTTATACTCCTGCTACTTGTGCCAACATTTATTGTGACAGCCTCTTATATAACTGCCATCCATTTGTCCAGAGCTTCACTCTGGAAACGTTCACAGGGTTTACTCACTATGAGGATGGTGATATGTGTTGTTGATGAAAGTAATGCAGTATTTATTTTTCTTCTTTTGTAAAGATTAGCTGTGTGTGTGTGTGTGTGTGTGTGTGTGTGTGTGTGTGTGTGTGTGTGTGTGTGTATATGTGTGTGTGTGGGGAAGGGTTGTCATTGTGTACAGGATCTAATTACCTCTGTGTTGAAATGATGATGACAGTGAGCCATATTCAATGTGAATCCTTGTTATCAAGAGGAAACGGCCATACTGAAGCTGGAAGAGGTTTTTTTGTTTTTCTTTTACCATTTACTGAATCATTTCTTTAGTGTTCCAGTAGCAAGCTTACTGTCTGTGTGTCTGAGAGGAGCAGTAGAGCAGGAACAACATCACTCAAATGTGAACTAGGGGAAACGGGAAGATTAGCACATTGGTAATCTTTAGTGTAAATGAAGCTCCGGAAACTTCTCAAATAAAGGCCTGGATAGTTATTCAGACAGGGTGACTCACGTTAGAACAGAAGCAGTGGGAGATGCAAAATGATGACAGAGATTGTCCAATCGTTGGAGCTGGTCCCAAAAACATCAAATGTGAAATAGGAAAAAAAGGTCAATTCTACGGAAGATCAGGACTGCCAATACTGAACAGAATCTTTATCGAAAATGTTTCCCGTTACTGCCAAAAAAGTATTCTCAGTGTTCTCCAAAGGCTAACACAACTATAAAGAACATTCAAATGAAATGTCCAATGTTAAAAAATAACATAGTGAAATGTGAGATTTGACAGGAAAATCCATTGGCTTACACCTTCTGCAAATCAAGAACACTTTTAATGGAATTAAAAACACTAAAATATGACAATGTTCTTAATTAAATAAAAACACGAGTTAATACATTAATACAAATTAGTGCTGGGCAATGATTGACAATTTTAAGCGATTAATCACATTGTTATGCGCACAATTCTAAAATAAATGTAAAAGTAGTGTATTGCGTACTTTTATTTTGAAAGTACTGCTATATGAACAAAAGTGCAGTAGTGCTTTTTAACAGCAGTATCCCCTTTACCCAGGAGCTGTTCAAATATATATTGTAAATCTCAACTTCAACATTAATTAATTTAATCAAATCAAATATAAAACCAAAGCTATTTGCAACTGCCAGGGCTTTGACGTGTTATCTGGTTCATTATAGGAGTTGCCCTCAGAGTCCAGAGACACAATATTCAACTTTCAGTGGTTACAAATAACTCTGGTCCGATCAACTCCTCCGTCTGAACAGATGGAAAATGTCCACGTAAGAGTTCTGTACCTTTCTCCATGTTTCTGTTCATGTGAGCGCTGCAGCAGTCTTAGGCCCGCCCTGAAAAATCTCATTGGTTGAGACGCGTGATGACGCCAATCCTAAACCAATCCTGATCAACATCACCCCCCTCCTGTGACCCATGGATCACAGGAGGGGGGTGATGTTGATCAGTCTGTCTGTATGTATGTGTATTCAGAGCCATTGAGCAACACTCTCAAAATAATCATTTTAATTAAACATTTTTTTAATGCGCAATACAATAATTATCCGCCACAATTCATTAACACGTTAATAGCGTGTTAACTTGCCCAACCCTAATACAAATATAAAGTGAGTCAATTTGTTATCAATATGTTTTTTTTTACTTATGTTAAATCTAAACTCATGCAAGAAATTCCATTACCAATATCTCCATAAACATTTGCAGTTTGACGCATAGTGTCATGAAATGGGACTTGTTATCATAAAATGAAGCCAGCTTGCAACATATACAAATTGATACATTTCAAAACATGTTGCACTGATAATACACTTTCAAATGTATACATTATTCCCAATGTTTGCAATAAGTCAATATTAGTACATGATGCTCAGCGAATGGAAAGTGACATTTCAATGTAATGTTATTATTATATGTATTTGTATATATTAGATTGGCAGCTCTGAACTTCCATAGATGAAAACCTTGGCTGTAATGCTGCTGAAATCTGAGTCAACAGTGAGTGTGAGGCTGGCTTATATTCCTCAGGAACAGATGAGAAATGCAGTTTATAAAATCAGGGTCTCCTAGACATTGTGGTCTGTTACTCAAAGCGTGTGTGTGTGTGTGTGTGTGTGTGTGTGTGAGAGGGTCTATATAATAAGTGTGTATGTGTTTCATATGTATATACAACCATTTTGGAAGGACTGTGTATGTGTGTGTGTGTGTGTGTGTGTGTGTGTGTCTATTAAGTGCTTCCTGAGTCCCTTGTTTTCTATGTCGGGCCTTCCCTCAGTACGGTCTGTAGTAGCCTCATAGAGTCATCTGTACATTAGCTCTCCACAGATCTCATGTGTTTGTACAGAAATGGTTGAGGGTGTTCCATGGCGCATGCAGACACAATATTAGTACTTATGAATCTATATCTAAGTTAAAAACATGTATTTGGTCTATTTATGCTTATTTATTTTTTAAACTTTGAGATTCTGTTGAAGTGGTCTGTCATGCTCTTCTGATCTTATGTTGTATTGTAAAGAGATTATTAATATATATCCATAACTATTGATGAACCCATAATAAAATGAACTATCGACTCTTCTTCCATGACTGATCTCTATATGCATTTCCAACAAACTGTATACAATAAGCTTACGGTTTGTATCGATTAAAGTAGTTCCTATAGTTATAGAAAGTTACTGTAGGCGTCAAGTAGGAAACAGAAAACAACATAAACCCAAAAAATGGAACAAAATATTCCAATACGTTGTTAAACAATGTCAAACCGTATTGTGTAAAGACTACCGTGCGGTATTACTTATAATGGTGCAAATAATATTGCATTTCACTACAATTGTATCGACAGTATTGTGTGTGATGCAAAATACTATTTCCTGCATTAAGTAAGGTTATTATATATTGAGAAAATATGTTACTTTCAGTTGTATGCAATATAAACATACTATAGCCTACATAAAGATACCTACAAAGTATTGTGGTTAAAAATCTAATTATTAACTTATTTTTACTTCTCGCAACCTTTTTAGGACACTGCTATATAGTCTGATAAATAAAATATTAAGCATAGAATAACTATATAAAATAGGCAGATTCAAGTAAAAAAGCGTTCTAATTTCATTTCCGTATTAACTACTGATTTGAAAATGTCATCATTTTAGGAAATTTAAAAATTTGTAGATACAAAATTGTCAACTGCAGTTTCCAATTGAGTGAACACTTTTAGTTTGGAATTGGTAACTCTGGAGTCCATACTGATTCCCTCATGTCCCATCAGACACATCCCTCTGACAGATGGTGATGTGATCACTAAACACAGTCTGTATTCCCCCTTACCAAAGAGATGCCATAGCTGGTTGTAAAGATAACTGCAGTGTTGTTGCAGTTATGTAGATCCATAACTGCAACAACACGGGGTTATACAATGAGAGCTGAGAGCTGACGTGCACAGATCAATTCAGATTTGTAAAATGTTACACGAACAGTGATTCAGAATCAGAACTCCTTCACTGATCACACATGAACTACTCTTTTTCCCAAAGAAAAGAGTAGTTAAACATATTAAAAAAAGAGGCAAACATATGTTAATAAAATCATAGTAAGCAAACATATAAAAGTATCAAAGACTCAGCCAGTAATCGCGTACATATGTTTTAATAAATAAAGTGTTATTGCACAGAAGCTTTTTTTATTTGTCATAAGGTTAGTCTGTTGGCGGTGGATGTTTGTGTCACTTAGTGGTTGTTTGTATAAATGATTACTGGGATCCACATTTGAACTGGTTTAGAGTGTTCCCCGAAAAAATTGTCAAAATATTAAAGGTCACTTTTGATGCAAAATCCACTTTTTCATGTATTTTATACATAGATATGTGTCCCCCCCCCCCCCCCCCCCACACACCTTATCACCTGAATCTCCTCCTAGAGCACCATTGCGTTTTTTTAACCAATCATCTCTCAGAGGGGCGTTGCCAGCAGCAGCTCGTTAGGGAAGGAGATGCAGCCATCAGCTTGAATGGATGTGTTTCCCTCTGTGACCACATGGGGGCGGTGTTGCCCTGCTGCAGGGTCACAGCTGAGGCTCCTCCAGAGGGGGCTGAATAAACACATGCATGAAATAGCATGACATGTGGCTTTGAAAAAAAGAAATCAAAGTTCGAACTACACATTAACATAATTAGCTTTTTCTTTTATGATGTCAATAATAAATGTTCAGCACATTTTGGACTGTTTCAATTCTTATTTGTTGTGTTTGCTGACAGATACAATGCTATTGTCTTTATCTTATGTGAGTATTCATGTGATGCCATCACATTTAGCTTTATTACAGAAGCAGTTAAGACCGAATTCAGATTAAGATACATCTCACAGACACACACACACACACACACACACACACACACACACACACACACACACACACACACACACACACACACACACACACACACGTCATTTGATTCATATTCCAGAAGGATGTGAGGGATTCAACATGTGCTTCTTTGTAAATACAATATTTTAAATTGAAAAATATTCCTAATAAATAATAAGTGTCATTATTAGTTTTAAACAATGTAATTTGTATTGAAGATAAATGTAAAGATATGGAAATCTGAAATCGTTTTGATAATAGGTGTATCAAACCTTTGCAGGTAAATAAAGATATTATTGATTCTGAAAGATAAATACAAAT